TGTGTTTGTCTATCCCAGCCTTAGGGCTGATTACCCATTCCAGTAGTTTTTGAACCAACCAAACCATTTTACTGCCTAAACAGTTTTAATTTAACTCATATTGAAGTCCATTTCAGTTCGAAATCGATTTTTAGTCTCGACTTGTTTCACTTTGTTTTGTACAGAAGCTTCAATCGAAACATTTGCGTGCTAAGTTCTATCTTATGTTTATGATTTCTAATTTTTAGTGAGATTTTAATAAAACAAATATATTGAAAATTTATCGTTTCGTTTTGTTTTTTATTTTTATTTATTTGCTACCTAGTCGAGCGCCTGTACATCGTTGTATATAGAAATTCGTAGGCTTAAGCGTTTGAAACGATTTTGGTTTTAGCCTTATCATTATCATTATCGTTGGAGGGGCAAATCCGGCCAAACAGTCCGGATGAGTCCGGGCGAAACACAGTTGACAGTTAACAATATTTAGTGCCCGTGGACAGGACTTCGCAAGAGATCCACAACACGTCCATGTCTGGCACTAGATACTTAGTGATGTAAGCTAATATCTACTCTATATTTACTCTATACTCTATCCCTAAGAAACCCAGTTATAGGCAAGGCTTTGAGCATTAGAACAGTAAGCACAATTTAGGTGGAAAACGGGAGCAATTATTTAGAACAACCAGTAAACAAATATTCCAATACAACGTAGGCAATAAATTCAAAGAAATTTTCCGTTAAATGTTTCACTTGTAAAGCAAGCAAAGGAAAAGTAGAGGAACAAATATCCGACACTAGTGTAAGAAACTTTAAATCAAATTTAGTGTTAAACAATTAAAACTTAATTAAACTGCCTTAGCACATTGAGAACGATGAAGAAACAAAACGAAAGCACGTGCTTCAATTTAGTTTAGCTGCACTTGAGAAAAAAAAACGAAACACGAAACCAAGAGATGAGTAATATTTTATGATAATCGGAGACACCAAAACTGCCAGCCAACCAAAATAAAATATATATCTTTAAACTGAAGGAAGGCATAGTAGGTAAAGGAGCTCATCTCTGACATCACACTGAAAACGAAGACACCAACCGATTTTGAGGAAGACAACACCACCAACCCAAAAAGTTAGACTTATAGTACACGATCCCATATTAAATGTGCGTTATATTGTTAAATATAAAACCAATTCAAGTGTTAACTTTGCGGCTTCACAGATTAGCAAACTAAATTTATTAGAAAATTTACGAAACCTTTCGTTTTTGGTTATAGTTTGTACGCATCAAGTTCCAAATAAAGCATATTTTTGTTACTATCTGTTGGGGTGATATTGTGTTTTACTCACCCTGGAACTGTTAGGGAGTTATCCCACAGCAATCGCAGCTGGCGGGTAAAGGCCGCCCACACTTGAGCCATGCCCTCCACACCGCCCAAGTGGGCGTGGCAGTTGGCCAGGAGACAGCTGAGGCGACAGACCAAGGAATCGGGAACAGCGCTCTTAATTCGCATGGGATCGAACTAAAAAAGTGTCAAGGTAAAAAAAGGATAAGTATAGAATATGTTTGAAAGGCTATAGTTTTTAAATTGATTGCTCTTATAATTTCTATAAATCCTAATTGCTGTTAAAGACCCAAAGCATAAAAGTTAAAATTATGGAAGAACTTGGGCTTGAATCCTGATTTAAAGAAGTATTACACTAAGAAAACGTTTTGTGAAATTCGGCTTTAAAAGATTTCCAGGAACTCTTAAAGACCGCATAATTTTAATTTTAAATTCGAATTACTCCCACATTTTTTAACCAAAAAAGTAGATTCTTGCATTGGGCATTATTTGGGGCCTTATGAATACATAATAATATAACATAATATCACTTTTTACTATAATTAATTAGAAATAAATACATTTAATTGGATTATGTTAGGGGTAAGCAATTTTCTAGGTCTTGTTTTTGTTTAAGCAATATTATAGCCCCCCACTCACCTTATCCTTGAAGCTCTTTTTGGAGTAGGGAAACAGTGCCATTTCGGGATGCATATCTGGGAAAAGATATGCCAAAAGTTCGCTTAACTCACTTTCGGTCATGGGACCAGGCAGTCGTTTTGTTAGTCCCGCTTGTGAGGGCAACTCGTAACTACGTTCCCGACGTGTGGTCAATTTGTGTTCAGTAATCCGATCTAAAGGATTTGATGCCGCCTCTGCTCCGCTGCTCATTCCCGAGAAGTTCCTGCCCACAAAGGACTCCAGGGATCTGGTGACCCCGGCTACAGACTGATAATCTCTCAGGCAGCAGGAGAGATACGATGAGGCCTCCACGGAGAGGTAAACCTTACCCAGCGGCGCCTTGGAGGGCACAAAATCGCTTCTCTGTTCGCTATCGAAAGCCACATGTTCTGATAACTCTGGCCAGGTGTAAACTAGATAGATTTCCGTGCAAGACTCGGGTGTATAGCCATGTGGCAGAGCGCAAAACTGTTGAACTTCCAGGTGCGAGACCTCTCCGTCGACTACTATATCCTCGGAACTTAGGCCATGATCGAATGGCACATACATGGGCATGCGGATGCGCATGGTGTCCAGAGCATATGTGGTGCAAACGGAGATCATGGCCGCCTGGGGGTAGGAAGTGGGCACCTTTTCCCTAAACAGGGTGAGCAGACCCATCAGGAATCGGCACTCGGGCGGGGCCTTCTCCAGTCCAATGAGCCGGAAATTGGTCCTCAGTGCGGGAGCTAAGGCCACACCCGTGTAGAAGTTCCATTTGGGATCGTAGATCTGCACAAAGATGGGGACCACACTCTGTACTTCTGCGGATACAACGGCTATGGCGCTCAGAAAGAAATTGAACTCCGAGGTGGACTTCATATAGTTGAGTTGGGGATTGACGGGTTGCAGGACAATGAACCGCCTTAGTCCGTAGATCCTGGCCAGAATATGCAGATCCTGGGAGCTTCTTATTGGCGGGCCAAAGCTATTCCCATTGGCAATAAGGTCATGATGGCAGTTGGTGCGCTGCAGGCAGGTGTTCTCCTTGATCTCCTCCTTGGCCAGTTCCTCGTCCGGCAGGATGGCCTGATGGTGCTCCACTTGGATGCCATTTTTCAGCATATCCAGTGTCTCTTTCTTCACTTTCCACTTGCAGGTGTAGATTTCCTCGGCTTTGAGACTTCTGCCCACGTTAGATTCGGCGGTCACATCCCATTTCTGGAGGATTTCGCCCAGCTGGGCATTGAACACCTCCCAATCCGAGTCGGCACTGAAGTTCTCCCGGTAAAATTCACTATCGTCGATTTCTTCGGCCATTTTTAAGGGTTTTTAAAGAGCTTAATGCGTATATCAACAAAAGACAACAAACTAAAATCGTAGACAACAATGGACTGGCGTTGCCAGATCTTTGGAATTGGCTGCAACAGCTGATTGCTAATGCAGCCCTGGAAAGTAGTGTTGTTAAAGGTATTTTTAATATATATGAAATTTAATTTATATTTAAAGAAAATTGCTTTACATTCGAATGATAATATTTTAAGGCTATGAAATTAATGTAAATAATATATTTTTATATAAAAAAATGCATTATAATTTGAAATGTTGCTTAGCAACTCAACCGATGAAAATTCTGGTTCCCTATGGAGTTACCTTGACTTATCATTATCCATTCCTGTAATTATATTAACATAACGTGGCAACACTCGCATAGAAAAGAGCAGACGTTTGTTTACAAAATTAACTATCCAACAATTATCAAACAAAATAGGATGAACCCAATGAATTTCCCAAGAGTTCGAGCCAAAAACTTCACCCCCAAAGAGGAAAGGATTCTGGAAAACCTTATATTTTATCATAAAGATATTATAAACAGCAAACAGAATGATTCGAAGATGTGGACCAAAAAAGCTGAGGCCTGGAAGCAAATTGCCAATGATTTTGCCTTACAATCTGGAATGGAACGTCCTTGGCAGGCTTTGCGTGAGAAATATACGAATAATCAGCGTTTAAATAGACGAAGGTTTCTCAATGTAAGAGGCGAAGATGGTTTAATGGATGATACAAAGGTTTACAATGGAAACCTAACCATCGCAGCAGTTTCAACGCTTGCGGGGGATCACAGAGAGGAAGAAAGTAAGTTTGGAACTCGGAAAAACCATATTATAAGGCACAGAACCAGTTCTCAAAACATGTTCCTAGCTAAGTTACACTAATCTCAAAAAACTAGTAAGTTATGGCCACTTTTATTAATAGATCTTATCCCTCGAATGCAATGGTTCCATCTCAAAACCCATTGAAATTAAAAAAAAATTTAAATTTCAATCCAGGTTCTTAAAATAAAGTTCATATGTATTATTAACCAGGTAGCACCGATTTCGATCCGGAATACAATCGCAGTAACACCTTATCGAGCACCTCCAGCGATCAACAATTCCAATCGGAAAACTTTGTTCACTCAGTTTTGCAAATAAAAGATGAGCCCGCCAACGATCCCATGGATCCAATCCAATCCCTAACCTTTCCGAGCGATGAAAAGCTTAATCTACTTCAGCTTCAACAGGATTTTTACAGATGTGAAAACGCCAGGGCAGCCGAGAAGCATAAACTTGATATGGAAAAACACAAATTAGAGCTGGAACAGCGTAAAATCGAGATAGAGAAGTTTAAACTGGATGTGGAGAAAAATAAGGAGGAACTGAAGGGCATTCGCCTGAAAAACGAACTTCTTGAAATGGAACTTTTGGAACGACGGGGAAAATTCAAAGATGTTGCCCCTAACTAACTATATTTCCTAAATTAGTTTATACAGTAAGATGGTTTAATGTTAAATAATTTATATAGTATATACTATATACTATGTACCTAGTCCTCACATAAGATACAAATTACAGAACTCATATATTAATGTGTTAATCAACGGGTTTAATTCTTCAGAAGGAATATTTTAGTTTTTGATATCTCCAGACATAGTTCCATTGTTAACAGTTTTAATTTAACCAGTTTCGTCGTGTATCCCTCCTTAATTCGAATGAATTCTGGTTTTATGCTCGGCCGTTTTGTTTGGTTGTTTTTATTAATTTACATCGATCCATTCACTATGTAGTTGGGGCTTAAACGATAACAGCGCTACGTATGTTGCTCCTCTAGCCGACAATCAGGAGGCCCTCGTTGGGGAATTCATGGGTGGGCACCTCCAAGTTGAGGGGCGCAGGTCCCTTGCGGATTCTTCCAGAGGCGTCGTAGTGGGAGCCGTGGCAGGGGCAATAGTAACCGCCCCAGTCACCGGCGTTCGCAATGGGCACACAACCCAGATGCGTGCACACTCCGATGACCACCAGCCATTCGGGCTTGATCACGCGTTGCTAAAAGGGAAAGAGAAAAACAATATTACTAAAATGTTCATAGTATAGGATCCATGATAGAGGGGATCGATATCAACCGCTTAAACTCGAGGTCCCACTCTATAGCACCTACATCATCAGTTTCCGGATCGCGCAGCGTGGATGTGGCCACTCCTCGCTCGGTCTCGATTTCCGCGGCGGTACGATGACGGATGAACAGCGGCTTTCCGCGCCACTTGAATGTCACCGACTTGCCCTCTGGGATGTCGGCCAGCTTGATCTCGATTTTGGCCATGGCCAGCACCTCAGCGGAAGCGCTCATGGATCCAATGAAGGTGTTGACCAGACCCTTGGCCGCATAGGCACCACCCACGGCTCCGGCACCGACCAGCAGGTAGGAGAAGGCCTTGCGCTCCTCGGCGGTCTCGTTGCGGCGACGGCTGTCCTTGACGGATTCCCGGCGGTATGGCGAGAAGTCGGGCACCTGCAGGTCGGTGTGTGCCTGGCGGTTGGCTGGAAAAGGTAGAGGGAATTATTATTTATCCTTGATAACATGGGAGAGGGATTATTTGGTTTATCTTCTGTGGCTTCAATAACTATTTTGAAGTCTATACTACCAAAAACATACTAGAATACCACGTAAAGGATGTAGTAATATTAGATTGTATTGTAGTTTTCTCAATTATTTTGAATAGTCCTTGCTTGTTAAAATGGTTCCCAAGATTTATGTTCCTTATAGAAACTGTTTCTATATATATTAAAAAGTTTTCTCAGTTAATTTAAATAGATTCAACGAGTCCTTGTTCTGAATGATGTTCGTTTGTTTGTTTTGATGGTTCCCAAGACTGCTGTTCCTTATAGACGTAGTGTGTGTAGTACTAGATTATTATATAAATAGATTCAACGAGTCCTTGCTCTGAATAAGGTTCGATTGTTTGTTTTTAAGGTACCTTATAGTACCTGTTCGAATTTTTTAGGTGTCCCTGATGTTGAAAAATCGAAGTGGTCATATCTTTGGTGTTTTCAAAGATATGTGTACCAAACTTGGGAGACTATTATAATGAATCTTAGAGATGCTGTATCCCAATTTTCGTTAAAATCCGATGTCGTTATCCCATAGATACAATGGTAACATTGGGTGTGCTTGTGAGCCCTTCAATTGTTGTTATTGTGGGAGGTTATGTTGAAATTACGTAAGGAAATTTGGCAAATCTCCTTGAAGATGACTGCAATTTGAATCCTGGCTGCATTTCCCACTATTATGTTATGATTTTTCCGTGTTTTTTTGCTGCGTTCATTATGTAATGGTTGTGTTTTTCGCTGGCACCTTGCAGAATCCACCTCGCAGAATCTTACCCATCGAGTTGACGGCCACTGCGCTCGCCTTCAATCCCGAGGAGAGGGCCTGGGCTCCGCCTCTGACGTAAGCACGCGACACGGCGTTCATCATTTTGTATGTTTTCGTATAAATCTAAATTATCACGAAAATTTCAACGTTTGTCGCTTCTCTGCCTGCTGAGAACAGGGTTGCCAGATTGTGGGGGACCAGTGCTGCCAGACTGGGGGTAAGGTGTTGCCCATTTAGCTACTTTCCCGCTAGATTCAGCGATTTACATAGCTTCTTGCTTTCGACAGTAAACACTTACACTTTAAAAGTGGAGAGCTTTGGATAGTAAGCAAAAAGTAAGAGAAGTGCTGACTGTCAAAAGGTGAATTATATACAAGTATATTTGCTTACTGTTAGAGGCTGGCAACTATATAAGTAACGGTTTTTTAATTCGAATCAAAATTTAAATTTCTCAGGAATATAAAAAGTGGAAAACTTTTAGCATATTCTCTAATGGCCTCAACCATAGATATTTACTGTAGGCGTGGTTTCAATAAACTTTTTACATTTTAAATTTATGACAAAAAAAAAGGCTTCAATTTTAAAATTATTAAATTTTTAAAATGATAATGATAACTATATGATGATAATGATAACTATTACTTTTTCCTTTTTCTCTCTGCAAATGTTCAATATTTTTTCTGAAATCCTAAATGTTACAATAACGTTCATATATAAATATACTTCATAAATTGAAAGTGTTATAAATACTCGACCCATTCCACCGTAATTATTTTAATTTATATTTCTATGAAAAGAAAATCCCTCGTCGTATGAAATGGAATTTGTTTCACCTTGCCATTCAATCCTTTCAACCCCGTTTAACCCCTTCACCCAAAGGTGGCACATACAGCTTCCACCCCTGTTTAAGTGAAAACTACCTTTTGAATGGGCAAATGCAACGGCTTGGATTTTCCCCAGATGAAAAGGGGTTTCCATGGCAAACCGGTTGGTCAAAGCACCACCAACTTCAAGAGAAAGATAATGTCCAACCACCGGACTTTCACAAGCCAGTTTTCTATTGCACTTTTCTATTTTCCCCCCCCACCAGCAGCATCATGATGTCATTGATTAGCCCACGATTGATGTTGTTTATTTCATTCAGGGTTGTTTCGCTTAGCTTAATTAATAAGTGAACCTAAATTGTTGTTATACTCTTCAGCTGATCTCATCTAACGCATAAAATGCCCATAAAAAATTGCATAAAAAATAGCTGGAGCATGGAAATTTGTTATGCGCATAAAAGTTGGCAGCCCAATTTTGGCCAAAACTTTAAAACCAAAAAAGCGGCCCGAAAATGGAGGCAGTAAAATGCGTGGAAAACTCTCCCGCAGCCGGCTGAAATGTAATTCCTCTGGCGCCAGTCCTGTGATTATCGAAAGTAGTTCTTTTTGATGTCGAAAGTTTGCCGCCACCCCTCTGCCTCCCTCGCTTTTACTTGGTAGGTGGCAAGTGAAAGTGAAAGTGAAGGCGAAAGTGAACCCCTCAGCCCGCTCAGAGGTTCATCTATTTTCCAGCCGGAGGAGGAAAATCTGCGCACATAAAGGCGTCTCTATGTACTTGCCCAAAAACACGCACACATAAAACTGGAGGGCACTAGGGAAAAGTGCGTGAATTTTTGCAAAAACAAAAACAAACTTCAAAATTTAGTTAGGTTTTGAGGCAGGGGAAAACTTTTATACTTTTTATAAATAACTATTAAATTTGTTGTTCAGGTGGAGGTTCAATGAATTATACAATTATATGTCTCATTATATAGTTTAATTTATTATTTTTTAATTTTCCTTTGATAACAAAATTTAAAATCTATTATAGAAGTGCTATTTTTTTCGCTTCTGCTTTTATTAAAAACGTTACAAAATTTTATGGGCTTGGATAAAATTTTATAATCTGGTATAAATCAGCAAACATATAAAAGGAAACAACATTTTGTTTTTTATGATATTTTTTAAAAAGTACAATCTAAAATCTTTTATTTACCAACTGTAGTTTATGAATTTTTGTTTCCGCTTTTATATGAAACATTTTAAAAATTCTTGTAATACAAAAAAATAAAATCTTTTAAATATTAAATAAAAGCAACAGATAAATAAAGATTACAAATCTACAAATACATATATTGTATCAACAGAATATTTACTTCTTGATGTTAAGATATTTAATATGTATATTTAAACATTTCCCAATTTTTTGCTTATTACCCTCCCAACATTATGTAAAAGTCCAGATAACTTTCTTTTTTGCCAGTGCGTAGGCCAGGAAAGTTAAAACTATGCCGCGTAGGCGACGTGGCAACGGCATCTGCCCTTTCCTAGGGATTTTCCACCCACTCCCGAATTTCCCAGCCACCACATCGCCCCCCAAACTCTCCAAAAACTCAACCGCATCCCCACTCCGAATTTAACTCTGTCAAGCTTCGACTGCGTTACACTTTTCAGCAACTTTTACATGGGAAACTGGCGCCAACTACAACAGCAGCAGCAACAAAAACAACGTTTCAACCCTGCCCCAGGGCATCCCCCACCCCTCCTCCTGCCACTACCACCCACCGCCTGCCCCCGCCCCCATTTCACCCATTTCTATGTGGCGTGTGCAGCGTTGCGGCTGCGGCAGCAACAACAACTTCAGAGGCAGTGGCAAAAGCCAAGATACACTGAGACAAAATATCATACAAAACTTAATTTTAAAAAAAATTTAAGTTTAAATCATATGTTAAATAGTTTTTTTTGATTTTATAAAATATTTCTATTAAGCATTTACTGCTCAATTCAACCATTTAATTGGCTAAAAAGTCTTGATACATAAAAATACCAATTTATATTTTATATATATATATATTTTACTCATTGTTTTTTTTTAATAAAAAACAAAATATCATCAAAAATATTAAAAATGTTTAATAAATGAAGACTATCTTTGTGAACTTACATCTCTTAAGATATTTGGAGTATATTATTCAATCCTGTTTTATCTTAAAAAACCAACTTGTGAGTATTTTCTTCTTGATTCCAAGCACGTTTCTTCTTGAATAAGTGAGAAGACGAATCCTTAAATTGAGATCTTCAATTTTTTCCGTTCTCAATGTTCTTTTTGAGCTTACCTCTCTTAAGATATTTGAAGTATATTATTCAATCCCATGATAATTTTTGTCAATACTCTTTAGAGATAGTTTTTAGTTTCTATAGTAAAGTTAAAAAATAAAATTTTATAATTTATATTTTGAAAATTAAATACAACAAATTGATTTAAAACTTGTGTTTTTATCTTTATTACTTTGACTTACTATAAAAATATTATATAATAATATATAGGAAACTATTAATATTTTCTTATCAATATTTTATGTTAACTGTGTACCGGCGACGACATAGCCTGCTTATCGCAACATCAGCCAAGCAGAAAGCTGAGCCCACCCACCCAGAGTCCCTCTGCCTCGCCGAACACCACCCCCTTGGAAAAGTTGAAAGTGGAAAATTGTGCGTGGCAGGCAAAAGTTTTCTGAGGCCCCTGACTGACAGTCTTTCACAGATGCGGAGGCGCAGCCACGCCTACTGACATCCTATATATATATATATATAATATACCCCTTCTCTTCGACGACTTTACCCATTTACAAAAACGAAAATTAAATGATTCAGAATCATCTGTGCAGCATCAGCGAGGCGAGGAAGCCGCAAGGAACTCGGAAAATTGTGGAGAATTTCGAAGCATGTGCAGCGGTGCTTGGATCCAAGAATTTGGCACAGCTGGCGGTCATTTATGTGTTCCTTCAGCCGACATCTTTATCTCCATCTCCACCAGTTGGGTTTTTGCATTTGAAATGATTATTTCCCAGCCTCCAGCTTCCGTTTTTTCGGCTCTGAAAGAGGCTCAAGTCGGGCCATTTTTGGCCAGTCGGATTAGGTGACCATGACAATGGGCCCCTGTTTGTTTTCATATTTTATTATTGGTCGGGGTCGAGGGATGTGGCTTTAAGGCATGTGAATAATGATCCTTCATCGGGTATTCTTGGTAGCCCGTCACATTTCATGGTATTTCTTACTGGTATTTAAGGTCTTATTGATGATTGGAGCGTTCACCATGAAGCTGGGGAGGGCTAATCCACCTTGAAGTAGTGTAAATGCTGCTCATCAATTGCTTGTCTTATTAATTAATTAATTAAGAAGAAGATACTTGTTTGATTAGGAAATAATTATAGTACTCAGGAAAAAAAAAACTTTTACAAAAAAAATTTTCTTTCGATTCTCAAAAAAATTTCCAATATCAAGAAGATGTGCTCTCGATCTTAAGGATTAACACTGTCTTGAAATACAAAATCTATATTATTTCTCTTTTTCAAGATTGTCTTATCTTGAAAAACCCACTTGAGAATACTTTCTTCTTGATATTAAGCACGTTTCTTCTTGAAAAAGTAAGAAGACGAATCCTTAAATTAACATCTCATGATCTTGAATTTTTTTTGTTCTCAATGTTCCTAAAAAACGCGTTTTAATTAAAATGTCGCATCTTATATATAATCACAGGTTAATAAATTAATAATAGCTTCTTAAGAAAGTACTTAAAGTAACCTATACCTACTTAGCTAACCTTTAATCTTGTGTTTTCCGCCCAATTTTCTAACCTTTCCCAAGCAATCTACTGTCCATATCCATTTCCGATCCTTATTCCTATTCCTACCCCATCCCTATATCTTCTTATCTTTTTCTCGGCTTGAAAGTTTGTCAACAACTCACGCCTTGCCTCTGGCTAGGTAAAAAGACCAAAGTTCCTCCGGCAGGATTTCGTTTTTATTTCGTTGGGTTTAAGCGCGAATGAAACCTGCCCTAAATTCGGCCAAGCGGCTTAAATAAAAAGCAAGGAAAAGCGGGCAAAAAAAGCGTGAGGCACGCGCAGCAGGAAAGCATCCTGCTGGAGGAAAAGGCCAGGAAGGCGATAGAAAGGAAACGACAACGTTGCGTTTTCCCCAACCGATGGGAAAATTCTTTTCCTTTTTGTGGAGGCGCAGCACGCATAAATCTACGTCCCCAAATTACATTATTTTGTCATTTTCCTTGGGCGGGCTACCCTCCCTTTGGTGATTTTCTCGACCGCTGCAGTGTCCTGTTTTCGGTGTCCTGTTTTTTCCACACGCCCGCCAGCCACATAAAACTCTGTCAAAAATAA